AGATTAGATCAATAAATATTTATTATACACTGTTACGTGATTTATGTAACAGTCTATAATATATATATATATATATATATATATATATATATATATATAAAGAGAGAGAGAAAGAAAAAGATATATAGATATAGTAAAGGAAATTAAGCCGTTATGTTACTAGGATCCACTTGGATCCTAGTAACATAAAATATTAAAACTGATCCACAAAAAGAGCTCAATGTATTTATTATCACAGAGCAAATGATTAAAACACAATAAAATCTAAAATTACCTTATATGGGGAATAACCTTATTTCAACCGACTAAAAATAATAAAATTCGTCCGTCTTATTTAACCCCGGTATTTGTGTCGGACTTAGAAATTTAACCATTGAAAGCTACCAACAAAGAAAAAATAATATATATATATATATATATATATATATATATATATTATACTATATATATATATATATATATTTATTTATTTAATTGTTATATGTATATATATAGCGATATGGCAAAAGAACAAATATTTTATAGTTATGATACTTCCCGAAGAAAAAGTGCTGTGGACCCTGGGCTGTTTACTGCCAAAATATAATCGATCTTAAATTCATGTTTAAAACTGTACAGGTGTAAAACTCTTCATTTGACGACTCAAGAGAACATCGAAACATCACACCCAACATCATTTCATTGAACTCTTTGAATACAGTAAACCAAATCGCAATATCTAAAGAAATAAAAACGATAAAAATGAGTCGAATGCAGATTCAGAGCTAGTCCATGGCGTTCTCTTCTTCATTTGTGAGGAGATTGTATGTCATTCACTGTCATATAGGAGGATTCAGTAGTCTTTTCTTTGATTATGTTGCTTCAAGTCTCTTCTTTATCTGTGAGGAGATTGTCTACTATTCAAAACGAGGACTTTCTTTCATTGCAGTGCCGTTGGAATTTGAAGGCCTTGGTTCACATGCTGCAGGGAAAGTTCTTTGTCCTTGAGGCTTCTTATGTTTGTAGCAATGTGGCACCGCAGTTGACGAAGAAAAATATATTTGTTCTTTTGCTTTAGGTGTTATGAGAATCATGATTTGGACGACACGTTAGAAGGATTCTATGGAGGCGAGAAGTTCATATTTCAACTGATCTTGTACTTTAAGCATCGGATAAAGTCAAGATTAGGACGGGAAAGCGGAGGCCCCTTCATCAGAATTTGGCGATCCGATTGTGTCGAGTAAAGGGCTGATATGGAGCAGCACTTTGACGACGGTTAGGCATCAAGATATTGTTCTTCTTTGTGTTGAACATGGCAACCCATCGCGAAATTAGGCTAGTTTATGTTTGTTTTTGAATCTTTAGTTTCTCTTTTTCATTTAGCTAGGATATATATAACATTGGCCTTTTATTTATATTTTCGTTTAATCGTTAGATGGTCAGTGATGCGTTCTCTGGTAGATGCGGGGTACCAGTGTGTGTTTTCGTATTTGTTATGGTTGAACGAACCGTGTCTATGTGAGTGCTTGGGATGAATGAACTCTTCATTTGCATCGATTTCATTCAGTTAACTGATCTTTCTGCCACATCTAAGGATTATGAGGGTATTACTAACATTATTTTGTTCCATATTGTACATAATCATTGGTGATTTTTTAAATTATAGTTTTATTCCCCTCCTTCCATACAGACAATGAATTGTACATATTAGGACTTTCATGGAGACAATGAGGTATTATGGTGGATAAAAATGAGTAAGAATGCGTTGTTTTGGATTAGGAATAATTGTTTCTATGTTTCCATTCGTGGCTAGATAAGTTTAAAGTTTGAACCGTCTTTTTCATTTCTTGAGGAGATTGTTCCATATTTTGTACTATTGTACAAATAAATATCGCCATATAGTAGGATTGATATTACGTAACAGTTCAGTACTCTTTTCTTTGTTTCTGTTGCTTCAAGTCTCTTTTTTCATTTGTGAGGAGATTGTCCAGCATTCACTGCCATATTTATTACGTAATACGAGGACTTTTTTCTTTTGTTTCTGTTTCTTCTTCTTCATCTGCAGGAGATTATCTAGCATTCACTGGTATTACGTAACAGTTCAGTACTCTTTTCTTTGTTTCTGTTGAAGGCCTTCATGGTTCGCTGTATTCACTGCCATATAAGAGGACTGATATTACGTCTTCTTTTCTTTGTTTTGTTGCTTCAAGTTCTTTTTCATTTGTAGGAGATTGTCCTGTATTCACTGCCATATAAGAGGACTGATATTACGTAATAGTTGAAACTCTTTTATTTGTTTCTTTGCTTCAAGTCTCTTTTTTCATTTGTGAGGAGATTGTCCAGCATTCACTGCCATATAGGAGGACTGATATTACGTAACAGGACTTTGTTTCTGTTGCTTCAAGTCTCTTCTTCATCTGTGAGAATTGGCATTTGCCATATAGGAGGACTGATATTCGAGTTCAGTACTCTTTTTCTTTGTTTCTTCTTCAAGTCTCTTCTTCATCTGTGAGCATTGTCCAGCATTCACTGCCATAGAGGAGGACGGGTAACAACTCTTTTTCTTTGTTTCTGTTGCCCAAGTCTCTTCTTCATCTGTGAGGAGATTTTGTATTCACTGCCATAAAAGGACTGATATTACGTAACAGTTCAGTAATCTTTTTTTCTTTGTTTCTGTTGCTTCAATTCTCTTCTTCAATAAAAGGGCAGCATTGATGCCATGGAGGACTGGCACTCTTTTTCTTTGTTTCTGGTTCAAGTCTCTTCTTCATCAAGAGATTGTTGTATTTGCCATATAGGAGGACTGATATTTAAAGTTCATACTCTTTTTCTTTGTTTCTGTTGCTTCAAGTCTCTTCTTCATCTGTGAGGAGATTGTCCAGTATTCACTGCCATATAGGAGGACTGATATTTAACAGGTTTTTTTTTGTTTCTGTTTTCAAGTTTCTTCATTTTGAGGAGATTGTCCTGTATTCACTGCCATATAGGATATATATACGTAACAGTTCAGTACCTTTTTTTGTTTCTGTTCTTCAAGTCTCTTCTTCATCTGTGAGGTTTATCCAGCATTCACTGCCAAATAGGGGACCGTAACAGTTCAGATTTTCTTTGTTTCTGTTGTTAGTTCTCTTCTTCATCTGTGAGGAGATTGTACCATGCTGTTATAGGAGGACTGATATTACGTAACAGTTCAGTATTTTTTTTGGTGTTGAACGAATTCTTCATCTGTGAGGAGATTGTCCAGCATTCACTGCCATATAGAAGGATGAATGGAAAGTTGTACTCTTTTTTTCTCTTGCTTCAAGTCTCTATCTTCATCTGTGAGGAGATTTCATTCAGTTAGGAGGACTGATATTTAACAGTTCAGTACTCTTTTTCTTTGTTTCTGTTGCTTCAATTCATGAGGAGATTGTCCAGCATTACTGCCAAATTGATATTTTTGTTCTTTTCTTTGTTTCTATTTACTTCAAGTCTCTTCTTCATCTTGAGGAGATTGTCCAGCATTTTTAGGAGGATGATATTAGTTTTAGTACTCTTTTTCTTTTGTTCTGTTGCCCAAGTCTCTTCTTCATCTGTGAGGAGATTGACAATGCCAATAAGAGGACTGATATTACGTAATAGTTCAGGACTCTTTTCTTTCATGGCTTCAATCTCTTTTTTTTCATTTGTGAGGGATTGTATTCACTGCCATATAAGAGGAAAGGTAAAGTTCAGTACTCTTTTTTCTTTGTTTCTGAATGCGTTGTTTTGTCCAGTGTATAGGAGGGAATAATTTTTTCTATGTTTGCCATATAGGAGGACTGATATTACGTAACAGTTCAGTACTCTTTTTCTTTGTTTCTGTTCTTCTTCATCTGTGAGGGATTGTCCAGCATTCACTGTTTAAAGATATTAAGTAACAGTTCAGTACTCTTTTTCTTTGTTTCTGTTGAACCGTCATCTGTGAGGAGATTGTCCTTTTCCCCAATAGGATCTGATTTTTGTAACAGTTCCTTTTTTTGTTTTTTGTAGTCTCTTCTTCATCTGTGAGGAGATTATAATTCACTGCCAAATAGGAGGATTGATATTACGTAACAGTTCAGTACTCTTTTTCTTTGTTTCTGTTGCTTCAAGTCTCTTCTTCATCTGTGAGGAGATTGTCCTGTATTTTATCTGATATTACGTTTTTTCTTTGTTTCTGTTGCTTCAAGTCTCTTCTTCATCTGTGAGGAGATTGTCCAGCATTCACTGCCATATAGGAGGACTGATATTACGGAACAGTTCAGTACTCTTTTCTTTGTTTCTGTTGCTTCAAGTCTCTTCTTCATCTGTGAGGAGATTATCCAGCATTCACTGCCATATAGGAGGATTGATATTACGTAACAGTTCAGTACTCTTTTTCTTTGTTTCTGTTGCTTCAAGTCTCTTCTTCATCTGTGAGGAGATTGTCCAGCATTCACTGCCAAATTGTCCAGTTGTACTCTTTTTCTTTGTTTCTGTTGCCAAGTCTCTTCTTCATCTGTGAGGAGATTGTCCTGTATTCACTGCCATATAGTAAAACTGACATTACGTAAATGTTTAGTACTCTTTTCTTTGCTTCTGATGCTTCAAGTCTCTTCATCTTGGGAAAGAATTGAATCCATATTTTCTTCACCCACCTATGGGCTAAAGAGCATGTCAAAATATCTAAATTGAAATGTCCAGTTTTGGGTCGCAACTAATCTAAGGAAATTTCAAAACGTGGAAAAGTCAAAATTTCATTGATTCATTCATTGATTCGTTTTTTACAGATTATCAACCCTTTGTAGGTTACTTAAAATCAGAAAATATTTTTAGTCTGTAGGAACAGTTTTTGAGATAATAACTATTTGGTGATATAAGCCTGACTAATTAACCCATAGATGGTGGAGAAAAGGTTAATGCATATCTTTCCCAAGTGCATTTGCTCGCAAGTAAATATAACGAACACAAAGGATATTGGAACTCGACTTCCCGATTAAAAATTCCGAGCCATTATCCATTACACTATCCGTACATCTAAGCTTACAGCACCTGGTAATTCGAAACAATCACCCATCTACGTATTGACCAGGCTTAACGTTGCTTAACTTCAGTGATCGTATGGGAACATGTGTTTCAACATGATGTGAGCATAAGCAAAAAAAAGGACAAAATGGAAACTATTGCAATATATTTCCCAAGAATTCACGAATAAAAGGAAAACGTGGAGAGTAATTACCGTTTACGTCCTTGTGGGTCATGGCTTTTAAAATAACTTTATTAATTGAGTGATTTCAAGAAATCCGTGTATTATCGGACGAGACACGGAAAACATTGGGCAAATTAAGAGATCAACATATCAATTAAGACCAGAATATGGGAAACCCAATGAGGATCGAATTCCCAACACACTAGTATTTATATGTGTCCCCACGAAGACAAGGCGTGACGCAAGGTCGGTGGCCTGTGGGTCACCCGAGCGCGTACACGCAGACCAGGGTCAAAAATTGCCCAGACCCGACAACCATCGGTTGCGCTGGCATCGCTATAGCTACCGACCCACTCTCTTTAGTGCAGCTGTTCCCTGGGACCGGGCACCTCTCAATATTTTCTCAGTTTTTCTCTGTTCACATACAGAGACACAACTGTGAGATGTTAACAGCGAGTTGGACGGCGGACTGCCAAACATTACACACTTACAATTGTCAACCGCGTTAATTGCTAGATATCCGCCCTATCGTAAGATACATTGTTTAGCTCTTGCCGCTGCACTTATTAACGAAGCTAAGCTTAGACTAGCACAAGGCTACAAGTATGGGGAGCACATACATAATCGAACTTACAAGTCAGTAGACGTAGTCAACCATACTAGCTCGTTAACCATTACTCCACTCTAAAGCGACCATTTAAATTTACAAAGCTTAGAATCCGGCAACAAGCCCTCTTATTAGGAAAAGGGAAGTATTGAATAGCGTGTAACATCATCTTTATCGCTGTTGTTCCCAGGTTCACTCTGACCCGGGGTGGTAGCACCTGTAAGAATCCCAGCTATTGGCAAAGGAACCCTGCAAACAGAAACGGAATACTATGAAAGTATAAAAAATGTATTTTTATAGCAAAATGACCAGCAATAAATTTTATAGTAGAATCACTAACAATACGTTTTAAAATCAAATGCTTTTAACGTCCATTGCGTTCTCTTCATCATTTGTGAGGAGATTGTATGTCATTCACTGCCATATAGGAGGACTGATATCACGTAACAGTTCAGTAGTCTTTTCTTTGATTCTGTTGCTTCAAGTCTTCATCTGTGAGGAGATTGTCTACTATTCACTTTCATATACGAGGACTTTCTTTCATTGCAGTGTGGGAGTGCCGTTGTTCAAGTTTGCTGAAGGCCTCATGATTCGCATGCTGCAGGGAAAGTTCTTTGTCCTTGAGGCTTCTTATGTTTGTAGCAATGTGGCACCGCAGTTGACGAAGGCTGAAAAATATATTTGTTCTTTTGCTTACTAGGTGTTATGAGAATCATGATTTGGACGACACGTCAGAAGGGATTCTATGGAGGCGAGAAGTTCATTTCTTCCCAACTGATCTTGTACTTTAAGCATCAGCTTAAAGTCAAGATGAGGACGGGAAAGCGAAGGCCCACTTCATCAGAAGTTGGCAAAAGGTGGGTGAATCTTGCGCGATTGTGTCGAGTAATAGGGGCTGATATGGAGTGGCACTTTGACGACGGTTAGGCATCAAGATATTGTTCTTCTTGTGTTGAACATAGGCAACCCATCGCGAAATTAGGCTAGTTTATGTTTGTTTTTGAATCTTTAGTTTCTCTTTTTCAGTTAACTTAGCTAGGATATATATACGCATTGGCCCCTTTTATTTCTGTCCCTATTTTTCTTTAGTTTAATTCCCTTCCCTCCCTCGTTAGATGGTCAGTGATGTCAGTTCTCTGGTAGATGCGGGGTGCCATGCGTTTCGCGTGTATGCTTTCGTATTTGTTGTTGTGTTTGAACGAATGCGTGTCTATGTGAGTGCTTGGGATGAATGAATGTTTTATACTATTATAATCCCGCATCGATTTAATTCAGTTAACTGATGTTTCTGTCACATCTAAGGATTATGAGGGTATTACTAACATTATTTTGTTTAGTTTTCTTTAGACTTCGGGATTAAATGACCCAGAGATGTGTTGATATACCCCTAAACAAAAGTAAACAAAAAGCTGAGTTTTCTCCCAAGGCCATAAGGATGGTTTTCTCATCTCCGATCGAACATACTACGCAGTAATAATGTTGAACCAGACCAGTTCATTAACCATTATCCCAAAACGAGGCTAATATTTAAAATGACAAAGTTTAATGCAATTATGGCACAAGGCCATAAGTGAGAAGAACCTTGGGAGATTCGAACTCATTGATGAGAATTAATAATCTACCAGTCTAGCTCATTAACCATTACACTACGCCAAAGTGCCCATTTAAATTAAATAAGCATAATACATTTTGGACAAAAGGTCTACAAGTAAGAGTCACTTTCTGGGAATTGAACTCCTTAAGCAGTAGTAATGCTGAACCAAACCAGTTCGTTAACCATTTTCCAACGCTGAGGTTAACATTTAAATTTACAAAGATTAATACAGTTTTTGCACAAGGCCACAGTTAGGTTCACCTTAATGAGAATCGAACTCATTAATCAGTATCAATCACCAACTAGACTAGATCTTTAACCATTATCCCATGCCGAGGCCCCCGTTTAAATTTACTAAGCTTAACTCACTAATTAGTAGTATTAGTCATACTAGTTCTTTAAACATTATTCCAACCTGAAAACACCTTTGGTTTAGTTGCAATTTTCAAATCTGAGTTTTGTTTGGCATAAGGCCATAAATATTGGGCCCCAAATAATGATCCACCTCATTAGTAATGTATAATCAGACCACCTACCTGACTAGTTCCTCTCACTGAGGCGTGCTTACTTATTTGTCAGTGTTTACCTTTCGGGGTTTTTTGCATGCAGTTTACCCAGTTTGAGATCATACAGTCTGTCTTCCTAATAGTCATTGAGTTTTGTCATTTACTTTTTCTTTCCATGCCTTTTCCCTTTCAAAATCAGTCGCAAATGGAAGCGATCCGAACGAAATGAAAAAGAAAGTGAATGGAAATCGATCTTAAAATTGGCCAAATAAGAAACAAAAAAAAAGTTTGCCGAAAAGATAAAAATATTGGAGAGACTTAGACAACGCGTATAGCCAAGCTCAAAATTGTTAGTAACGTCGAATCAATTGTATAGCAGCCAACCACTTATTCTCTCGTTGTCAAATTTGGCTTGAGACACGAGATCAATTTAAAGAGATAATAAAGGCTGTAGCAATTGTCAATATTGAGGTTTTGTACCCGGTACTATTTTTGCTATTACTGTTTGGTATTTGGTTTTTGCGACGGCAATATTGGAAAGAAAAAGAGATGGAGAAAGAAAGCAAACGAGATTCAAATGTCTTGCAATTTTACGACGATATATCAGTACAGCAGTAGTTAATTTATAAGAATGTATAGAAAATGGCAGTTTTCAAGATAGCAGAAATAAATGCCTGTCGGCATTTTCAAAATGTCTTTCAGATCAAAACTACTTTTTCGTCAGAATGTACAAAGACGTGCGTTCGGGAACACCTAAATTATAATTCCACCTTTCTTTGTGGAAAATGAAAAGTAAAAATTATTTTAAAATGAATAAAAGAACTTCTCGATAATTTTTTTTTTCGTCTCTATAAATGTTTCTCTTTTGATATTGTTGTCTTGTTCTAACTTTCTATACATTGAATTTGGTCTACACTTATTTTCAGCATTGACTTTGCTATCGCTTGTTTCGTTCATTTTGATTTTCTTTCACATGTTTCCTTCTTTTTCTTTATATTGGAATCACCGCTTTCGCATTCGACATTCTGTCTCTATCAATATATCTCTTCATCTCAGATTGTCAGTTTTCTTTCTGTTTTTCTATACCCTTTCTATCGCCATTTTAATATCAATCATTCTCTCTCTTTTAAGTTCTGCTTCTGACCTGTTTCGCTTATATGTCTCTTTTGGTTTCATTTTCTACATCAAATTTCATAATGAATTCTTTTCTATAATAGTCTGTCTGCATTCTTCACCATTCTTTTCTTTCTTTCACGATTTTTTTTATATTTATTTTTATTTTCCTATCATTGTATTTCTCAATGTGAACATCTTTTTTTTATTCCTTCTTTTTCCTTACATTTCTCATGCAGCTTTCATATTAATCTTTATTCCAAATTTCTCTCCTCTCTCTATCTCAATGTTTTCTTTCTCTTTTTTCCACCTCAGATATTATATCTTATATATAAAGTACAGTGTGCGTGTGTTTCTGTGTGTGTGTGTGTGTGTCCAAGCAGCTCCCCCGCTCCCACTGGTCCGATTTCAATGATTCATAGCTCATTCAAAAGCCCTAGAAAAGATAGGCGCAGGAAACGATTTTCGTTGAGCTCAGATTTAAGGTTGCCAGATTATCCGAGGTTAAGTATATATATTAATATATTATAATATCCATTATCGTCCCTTTCATGGTTCAAGCAGAGTAACTCTTATTTTCCTTTTGTATCCAAAATTGCAGTGTACGTTTTATTATAAACTAGCTTAAAAGCCACCCTATTGTTTTACGCTCATACAATCAAATTTGCCATAACGTTTATGATATACAAACTTTTGACTAAATCTTATATATAAAGTACAGTGTATGCGTGTGTTTGCGTGTTTGTGTGTCCAAGCAACTCCTCCGCTCCCAGTGGTCCGATTTCAATTATTCATAGCTCATTCAAAAGCCCTAGAAATGTTAGGCACAGAGAATGAATTTCGTTGAGCTCAGATTCAGGGTTGCCAGATTATACGAGGTTCAATATATATATATATATATATATATATATATATATATATATATATATATATAATAAAAGTTTTAAACACTAATATTCCATGGTCATAATTTATTCCATAATTTATTTCCATTATAAACATGGAACAAATTATGACCATGGAATATTAGTGTTTAAGCCTTTTTATTATATCCTTACTCTGTCCTGGACATTGAGTTCTACCTGGATTCTATCCTCTTGGAATTTTTTTATTCAAAAAATATA